TGATGAAGAAACAAACTCATCTACATATTGGATGGCCTGAAGGTGAGTACATTTTCAGCAAATTTTCATTTTTAAATAACTATTCCTTTAAGAAATTGTAAATAAATCATAGAGTTGCAGTTTACTATATAATGTAGAACAACAAAACAACTCTGGCTCTGACTTTAGTGATGGTTTAAGGAAAATAATCAATAGGCTTTCTGTATAATTGGGTGAATGTTATTGAGTGGATTTAGTATGCATCCTTTTCATGTATCCTGCATTATTAGCATCACAACTGATATCAGGGTTAGTCAAACAAATCGACTCACTCGTTTCCTATGTAGACATTGGGCCAGACCTCATTGACATGTGTGTAGGCGACGCTGCCATGCATGAGGTGTTTCTCCAGCTCGTAGCCGTTTGGTGTCACATATTCCTCTTTCTCTTCAGAAACCTCAGACTTCACTCCAAACTTCCTCCTTGAGGTCAGCTTCAACCACACATTCGATTAAAACAGCATGAGAGGGTAAATATAAGGCCCAAAGGCAGACACTTAGATGAAAACCAGGCCGAATGCAGAACTACGTCTCATTTTACGTGTAAATCAACAGCTGGAGTCTCAGTACTGCTTCTGACTTAAATACCTCTTTCTCTGTATTTTTGTGTTCAGGTTGGGTGGAGAGGTGCTGAGCTGAGTCGACTGCTTTGGTCTGACGAAGGGCCGGAGATGGGTGTTAAATTCTAGGTTATTTTTAGAGGTCTGTTCCCTCTTTCTCTCCCTAGAGAGAGCTGAACCCCCCAAACATGTTTCTCTGCAAATTTCAACCGATGCAAGACATGGCATGAACACCACAGTAATAGTGAACCCAAATGAACCCACTCTATAATCAAGCATCTTGATTTAGAATTATTTCCCTTAAAGTCTGAGCCAGAGTTGTTTGTTTGTTCTTCATCATTTCATAAATGGCAATTCTATCATTTATTTACACATTCTTAAAAGAATAGTTCGCCCAAAAATGAAAATTTGCTGTAAATTTTGTCATCCGCAGGCCATCCAAGATTAGGATGAGTTTGTATCTTCATCAGATTTGGAGAAATTGCTCACCAATGGATCCTCTGCAGTGAATGGGTGCCGTCAGAATGAGAGTCCAAACAGCTGATAAAAATAATCCATAAGTAATTATCCATCAGTTATCGTCTTGTGAAGCAAAAAGTGCATTTCACCCTTTTCAGCTAAAATACAAGTCCATAATCCATAATATTGCTTTCTCTAGTGAACAACTTGTTTTGTCTGAATCAGGAGAAAAATATGCACAGATCAAGCTTGGTTTACAAGCCAAAACAATCCTAAACAAATAAGTTTGTGGATTTTGATGAGAGAGGCATTGTTATGGAATATGGACTTGTTAACTGATGGACTGGAGTGGTGTGGATTATTGTGATGTTTTTATCAGCTGTTTGGACTCTCATTCTGACGGCACCCATTCACTGCATTGGTGAGCATGTGATGTAACATGATGCTAAATTTCTCCAAATCTGTTCCAATGAGGAAACAAACTCATCCATATATTGGATGGCTTGAGGTGGTGAGTACAGTTCATTGTCAGCAAATGTTCTTTTTCAGGTGATTTATTCCTTTAAATGAGTTATTAAAGATTCCTCTTTGTTTATACTAATAGATCGCATCTCTTCTCTGCAGGTTGAGGTTGGAGTCCAGCTGACGTAGCTGTTGAAGGAATCCAGCGTTGGGTAGAATGTTCCTCTGGGCACAAACCGCATTGATGGCTTCTGCGACTGTGAGTTTTTCATATATCATCAGATACGCCAGAACTAGTGTCGCTGAACGACTCACTCCTCTGGCACAATGAACCAAGACCTTCCCCCCTCCTGAAAAACAAATAAAACTACCATCACACACGCAGGTTTAACCGGTTCAAACCCGTCACATAGATGTCTATAGAACATCAAACGCATTCAAGTAAAACAGGATATTCATTCAACAAGAAAAACTGTAGGGTGTGTCTTTAAAGTGCCCCTATTATGGATTTTTGAAAATTTCATGCAGTGTGTAACACAGCTCTAAGTGAATGAAAACACCCTGCAAAGTTTTAAATCTGAAAGTGTGTATAAAGTTATTGTCCATCTGTTTCCCCAGTAACGCTGTACACAAAGCAGCACTGCGCTCACAAACACTGCTTTTATTATGAAATGGAAATTAAATCGAACAATCGGACCAATCACCGCAGATGATTGAAAATGAATTGTTGAACAAATTGTTTGGGAGTCGTTGAGCAAATAAGGTAAAAATAAATGCATATTGTAAGACAAAACGAAGTGTTTTTTGACCTTGCATGCATGTCAACCTGTTGTTGTGGACTCCCAAAACCAAAATATGAAGCTTTCATTACCCATAATAGGGGCACTTACAATTTTACTTAAGGAATTGATTTAATTTTGAAGTGTTTTTTATATACCAGAAATGTTATATTTTCAATTTTCAGATTCAAGTCATTTTGTTAAGTGTTTTTTGATTAAACATTATGTAGACAAACACTTTTCTTTGGAATAATGTCACTGAGTAATCATTCACAATGAGATCTAGAATTCAGAAGGCATTCAAAAAGTAAATTCTCAATGTAAATGCATAAACACAATAATATCCCCAATACGTCAATCACTGAAATCAATGTACAAGTAGTATACTTATTTCAATACTACTTGGGACTAAATTGGCCTACTTTTTGGTTAATACAAGTATACTTTTAAGTAGTGTAACAGTAGTAAACGTTAACTACATTTTGTGTTTGTAATGCAACTTTACTACAAGTGAACTTGTACTGATAGTTTGCTAGTTAAATACTTTTTAGTTTATGGAAGCAAACTTTGAAGCATACTCTTAATAAACTTCTAGTTTTTAGTTGTAAGTTTTCTTTTTCAGTTTTATTAACCTGAACTATTCTACCCAAAGCTGACTTGATCATACAGGTTTATAAGACAGTATGTAAAACAATGTGAAAAATAGGCTACTCAAGCAAAATACTAAACACAACTACTAGCCAAGTACAACACTTAATTGTACTTTTAACTATATCTCAATCAAAAAATTGAGTACAAGTATAGACCATATATACTTTTCTGTACATCATGTAATTTTAAGTGTATTTCTAGGAAGTACATACAAGTATACTTTCTTATTTTTTAGTGTAAAAGAAGTACACTAATAGCCAGTGTTGGGGAAAGTTACTTTTAAAAGTAATGCATTACAATATTGCGTTACTCCATAAAAAAGTAACTAATTATGTTACTTAGTTACTTTTTATGGAAAGTAATGCTTTACGTTACTTTTGCGTTACTTTTTAAATCTGGGCAGGGCTTGCTTGTTTGTTTTTAAAATAAAAAAATTATATTTTTGGCAAATATAAAAGCCTTTTCACACCAAAAGTGAAATGAATAAGCCTCAGGCTGAAGGGAAAGTAAATTTCCGTCCGTACAGTAGAATGCAGAAGAAGAAATTTCAACACACTTAATAAAAAAAGACACAAATGTTTGTCTAAAGTAATTTTTGCGTATGGTTGAACTGGATCATCGAAGGTCAGAAGCAAAGAAATAGAATGAGATTAAATATATAAAGGATATTTGTGTTGTTTAACATTTAATTATTGCAGGTTTGCGTCATATTCTGAGTTGCATTATTTTTATTCATTTTGAGGAATACTGAATCTGT